CATGTTTCTGTGTCTATGTCTGTGGCTGTGCGTATGTGTAAGCATTTTTATGATCTACGAATCCCAAACCGTTGTAACATTGACTTTTTGTGATTAACGAAGGGTTTTTGTTCTCTATCATGATAACCGCTGATAATGAGGTCTGGGGAATGAATAGGCTGTAGTAGACACACAACAAATTTATCTGTATATGCTATATGCAGGTCTAGTTCTGATGAATTACTTGAGACGGCTCTTGACGAGATCTAATTGTAATATTGGATTTGACGTCAAGTCCTCTAAAATTATTTTATTTGCATTACAAAAAAAAAACGTTTTAATACCAACACCTGCGTAACAAATTTAGTTAATAAAAGTGCATATATATATATATATATATATATATATATATATATATATATATATATATATATATATATATATATATATATATATATATATATATATATATATATATATATATATATATATATATATATATATATATATATATATATATATATATATATATATATATATATATAGAGAGAGAGAGAGAGAGAGAGAGATAGAGAGAGAGAGAGAATATAATAGAATTAGCGAGTTTTGATTAGTTTCGGTTAGTTCTATATTGTGGATATTGTATAGGTGTAGGTAAAGGTTTGTATTTGACTCTGCTTCGTATTGCACGCAATAAAATCAATCAGCTGTCATCAATAAAAAATAAAGTCATTATTTAGCTAGTCTCTTTTTGTAGCGTATAGTTACGTCACTTTGTATTGGTAATTGCTATTGCTATTTCTGTGTAAAAAAAATAAACAGATTATTTTTTCTTAAGAATGATGATTCAATACACTATAGTCACCCGTACGCTTGATTATTCAAATTTTAAATTAGCCGAACAACTCAACTGAACCATCAAGAAACTGCTTCCACTTATAATTACTAAGATGTGACTAGTGACAGTTATATTGGTTCACGTTTAAGACAATGCTCGTTTGAGTCTGACAGGTTTCCAATTAGAGCTTCCTGCGTTGTCATGTGGAAAAAGCTCCATTTCGTGATAATTACTGTAAAGTTGAAACTTTAACGCCGAAGACGCTCGAGAATAATTTAAGGGCGTTTTAGGGGGAATGTGGGTTTATTCCGGTTTTTAGTGGAAAATCGATCGCTAGGGCACTGATTTTTGGATGTGGATGAAGTACATGTGTTTTAAAATATTTTAAGAGTTTTCTTTCTACATTTTCTCCAACTTATAACACCATATAACATTTTTTTTATATGAGATGTGGTAAATGAAAGCTATAGGTCTCCCTTAACTTGAGCAACCCATATTGTTAACCTCTTGATTGCTTGGAAATATTTTGTAAAAACTTCACTCACATCTCGACAATAAAAAAAAAATATTCGGCGTTTAAGATGGCGAGCGTGCGAAACTGGCTCCATCAAATTACCTTTGAACGAAGTCATTCATTTTAACTTCTCCCCGTGGTCTTCATACTCGCTGCTGAATGCAAATGCTACAAGCGGAAGAAATTAATCGAGCCATTGGACAAGTAAATGTTAAATTGTCTGCATTAACTTCGAGAGAATTGCAAGAGAAAATAGATGTGAGAAGTGTAAGAAATAGGAATATGGTTTTCGGTTAGGAGATGGACATTTGTCTAGAGCAACGAAGCTAAATCCAAAGCAAAGCGCTTAACTTTATACACTAATGGCAAATATATCTAGATGACAGGTGAAATAAAATATCGTTATACCGTTAGGAGTTTCTTGGAGGCAGCATATGGTGTCATCGGTGAACTCCATCTAACGAATTAGGATGGTTCGGACGCTGTATTCATGTTAATACTAATTGCATCTAGGTGTAATAACGGTTTGTTTTAATTATCTCGCTTTTTTTCTGTTTGGGTTTTTCATCATTGTAAAATCATTTAAATTGTTTATTCATCTTTGAACTTAATAGTAGTATACACAATCTTGATATGTATCTATTTGTATCTATGTATGTATGTATCTATTTGTTTTGTGTTGCACTGCGATAAATATAACCTGCAAAAAAACGTTTTTTTATAAATAGACTATTTACGCACCTATTGACTTGATCTGTTTTATAAGTAAATTATAACTCATTTTTCATTTTTTGAATTTTGATATAAAGAATTCGAATTTATCAGATGTAAGATATAATTATGTATTATTTGTACGTATTATTAATAAAAATAAAAAATAAATTAGTATTTTGTTGTCACAAAAATTTAAAATAGTTCAAGAAATAAAGCGTTCATATATAGGTGTATACATGGATATTTTAAGTGTTTTTCAATTAGTATGCTAGAAAGCTTAATTGTTTTGAATTTCTAAGTATAGGTATACATTTTTATGCGCATTTGTCGAAAGTTTTTAAAAAAATTATATTATTATAAATTTTATGTTATGTTTACATATAAATATAAATGATTAGCAAAATTTATAAGTAAATTTAATAAGTTTCATTAATCAATCAGTAATTTTTTAGTACTGATTTTACTGGTGGTCTTAGTGGGTTTAGTCACCTGCTTCGTTTCCACAAAATGGATCGGAATCTGTTGAAAATATAGGATAATCCCAATTTTGAGGTATAATTGTAATTTGCCTAAACAAAGCGAATTAAAAGATTGAGAGATTAAGAAATTCATTTTAAAATGTTTAGGATGTTCCTCGAAGAAGATATGTTAATTGTTGTTTTATAACAGAAAAAAATGGAATAAATGGAAAAGTTTTTTTCTAAGCATTTTTGTAATTGCGCTTCTCAATGTTAAGAACGTTTGCACTGATTAGACATTCACAAAGTGTCACTTTAAGACGTCAGCTGATTATCCACTGCGGCTTGTCCCTTTGGACGTTTTCGGTACTTTAACTACGGACTTGAGTGATAGTATTTTGACATTTGTCTGTTCCGATAGTCACGTCACATGTCACAGTGGATGTATTCATTATGTTTGGCAACAATGTACCCAAAATCTAATAGTCATAGAAAAAATATAGTATGCGACATACACAGTAATAAATACAAACATAGAAATGTTTTTACTGAACTAACGTTGTGTAAATAGCTTTGGATATGTTATATGTTAGTTATTGTTTTTAAGTTGTATTTGTATTATTATAAAGTAAATTAAGCAAATGAACAGCTTAAATATTTCTAGGTGTTAGACGCAAATATTTACTTTAAAATTTGTCCTTAAGCCAGAATAATACTGTTATCCTTTTTATCTTTCATCAACGCTAACTAGGTAACAATTATTCAAACTAATTAAAGCAATATATTCTATTTTATAGTTGTTGATCAAAATGTTAGGAATATTTTCTATGCTCTCCTTTGTTCTGCTCGCACCAGACAGCGAACATATCGTTTTTAATTATTGATATTGTCCTAAAAAATATTGTTTATTTTTTTTTTAACGAAACGAGGATTACATGTTACAAATAACACAACATAATATCAAAAAACTAAAACGGCACGTTGACAATAATGGTTTGTTTACTAATATTTCAGCAACTTCAACAAAAAAAGCACGTTAAAAAAACTTATTCCGTAAAATTGTATTTTTTTAATATTACAGCATAAAATACTTTATTTTGAAACATTACTTTTTCATTTATTAACTTCTTTAAAAAATAAAATGGCCTCTCTACGCTCGTGCTAAATCAAACTAGTGACCAAGGTGGCATTTATCAAACTTGTTGCATAATATAGGAGAAAAGGAGGCATAACGGACCCTGCAGGTAAAACGGTGGGTGGGTTAAAATACTTTAAATACTATTTACACCATCTATACAAAGTTGTTAACATGAAATTTTGCTGAACGGAACAAGCTCCGGACAGTTAGCCACAAGCCGGAAAGAGTAACCTACAAAATTTTAATATGGTGGAATTTAATATAAAAATGAAACAATATTAGAATATCTGTATTTTTTACTTCTATAATAAGGTGCGTAGATACTATTATAGCCTGGACACTTGGACCATTTTGCGGTCCGTTTTGCCTAAACAACTTCTTTTAAACAAAGCTTTTAATATATTTAGATACGAAAGAAAGATCGAGAGGCAAAAATGGTCCGAAGAATCAATTAATCAAGCAATAATTGAAGTTGCACCTAAGGCTATGGGAATTAGAAATGTATCAAAGTATTGACACAGAAACAGCGACTAAAATGGGGAGATTTCAAAGGGTATTTAAAAACAACATCAGGAGCAAGTGCTTACTGCGCACGTAAAAAACATGGGGGCCAGCATCACTTTGACCCAAGTACAAGGATGGCCGGTAGATATTGGTTTGAGAATTTTTTAAAACGAAATCCCGATCTTAGTTTTCGCAAACCAGATGCCACCTCAGCTGCAAGGGCTGCAGGGTTTAACAGGGTTTGTTTTTACTTTAAAATCTGGATCCAACGACGACGGAAGCAGATAAACCTTGTTGTTCAAATTCATTGCTATTCAATATGATAAAAGTACTCTCCAAGTGAAGAAGAATGCGCAGAGTGCCTATATTGTCACTATTTGTATTCAACGCCAACAGAAAACTGGATCCAGTGTCTCACGTGTAAACAATGGGCTCGCTGTTCCTGCGCTGGCGCTGAAGATGAAATACGTAGAAGCAGTTTTTATTTGCGAAACATGCAAGGATGAAATGTTTTGTATTGAGGTCCATTATGCCTTCATGCGTGTGCCGTTGTACCTTGTTATGAAGGCAAAATGGAGCAAATGTCGTTTAATAGTTTATTGTTTTATAAACCGTAATTGTTTATTTTCATTTATCTTAAATATGATACTGAAAGGAAACATACCCATGTTACACAAATATAAGTTTGGTTTGTGAAAAGTTCACCTTTTTTATCCTGGCCATACCTTTAAGGGTACCATTTTTCCTTCTGTTCCCCTACTACTAACTTATCGAATGCCGAATTTTAAGGTGCATTCTAAACTTTTGTCTGGTTTTCTTATACTATTAACTATAGAGTCCCATTTTTTGTTATAGGTCCAAGAACACGAAGAGTCAAAAAACCTGGCAGTACTAAACAAAGTGGGACAGTACCTGAAGAAAAACGACCAAGGACCGCGTTTTCGGGAGCCCAATTAGCTCGTCTCAAACACGAGTTCGCTGAAAACCGATACTTAACAGAACGACGTAGACAACAGTTGAGTGCTGAGTTGGGCTTAAATGAGGCTCAGATCAAAATATGGTTTCAAAATAAACGGGCAAAAATTAAAAAGGCGTCCGGTCAAAAAAATCCATTGGCGCTGCAACTCATGGCGCAGGGTTTGTATAACCATTCCACTATACCTTTGACTAAGGAGGAGGAGGAGCTGGAAAAGATGCAAAGTCAAGGAAAAGTCTAATCGAATCGATTTGCAATTGCGATTCGCAGAAAAAAGATTGATGTTCGCAAAAGCTTGTTTACACACTGTTGAAAAGAGCACATTTCAATAATAATTATATATTTTTTACAGTATCCTTAAAATATAAAACAGAAAATCAAACTAATACCATAGAAAATCTGAATTTATTGATTTTGACTGAATTTAATAAATTAATTTCCTAAATTATTAATTAATTTAGAAGATCCGGAATTTGTCATAAATGTAACAATACATTTTTTTCTACAATGTCAATTTTGAATTGTTGAGTTAATTTTTTTTTATAGTTACGATGGCTGATATTTATTTTTACTATAAAAATTGCATTTTTTTGTTACTTACTATTTATGCTATTTCCGGTGGTGACAAAAGTTTTGCAAAAACCCCGTGCCCAATAAATAAATAACCTAATTTGTGAACGCAACTTGGCATGGGAAGATCTGTATACTCAACCCCCATTGCCATTAAGCTGGTTGTAATGTCACAGAGTTTCTGAAAAGCCTAACTCTTGAGAGCTACGTTTAGATACGTTTTTAGGAAACATTGGTTAATTAATTGGAAACAGGTAAACATAGGCTCTTCGTGGAAGTTTAAAGTGTCATAATTATTTTGTTGTTCAAGCAACCTGTGGATACAGTTGTTGGTTTAATTTGCTCCATTAAAAATTAATACTTTACTTACTACGCAAGGGGAAATGGAGCAGCTATTTTCGTTTCATTAAAACGTATCGACATATCGACTTATTTTTTTCCTTTATTAGTTTTAAAACATCTTGGAAAACCGTATGATTATGATTTTCAGCTCAGTTTACAAAAGAAACATTAGGAAAATTGCAGCAGCAGTGTTTCGCAATAAGGCTTATCAATTCTAAATTCCACATCGCAAATTAGTAAAGTAATATGGAAAAATTATCCATAATTTGTCAAAATGTAAAAATTGAACAAAAAATTAAATATTATGGTACTTTAACTTTATGCCATAATTTTATGTTATATGGCATAGTATATTATTTTCGGATCTCGAATGCAATTAAAATATGTAAAAAAGAGAAACCGTTTCAGATTTTATTGAATGATGCATATCTAATGCACATATTAAAATACGTATATCTTTGAAGTACTCAGCTACTATTTTGAGATACTTTATATAATTATATTCCGGCTGTCATTTCATAGTATTGGTTGACGATCAAAATTTTTTCGGTGGTTATTTTGTTGTAATGGCGCTTGTGATATTTGTCAGGCGAATAGGTCTGCATAGGTAATTTTTTTTGTGTTTAATGCGATATTTTCCAAACTGACTGATGTTTGTCTGTTAGTATCTATGGAATAATTTCGAATAATTGCCAATTACATTTATATGCACCATTTAGACTTTTAATAGATAAAAAATAACGTTTTTGAAAAACAAATTAAAAGGAAACAATTTGTTTAATAGTTATTCGATTAACGTGAACATTACATGGATTTTCTGTAGCGTCCTCAGTTGAGGATTATTTGTAACTATTGGACGGTTTGGTAGCTAGCTATTAACTACTGCAATATCAAAATTATGCATGATGACCAGCAATAAAAAAATTTGTCTGATTTTGTCTCAAAGTGAAATGCCTCACTTTTTAAATGTAACTCTATTATTCGTTGTTGTAAAATATAATAATAGTATGTACAAAATGTATAAAAGAATCGAATTATAATAATGTGTAGATTATTTATTGTGTTAAAATTAATGAATATTTAAGTTCAATAACCCCAGAAAATGTATAGACTGTAAAATTGTTAGTTTAGATTTGACGTGTATATAGATTTTCAGCGATAACTACTTAAATTCCTCCTATTTGTAGGTTTTGAAATTGGATTGAAAAAAAAATATGAAAATAATATTGGCGATATTTATTACATATTCTAAATTGTACATAAAATGTTTTAGAAATTTTTCACTTGGATCAAAAGTGACATGGCTTGAAGAAGGCACGGTATTTATTACATCAAAGTTTCGTAATTTAGTGATTCTCAAAAAGATATAATATAAATAAATCATATATGGAATAAAAATACATTAAAACTTGTATGTTGTTTTTCTCTTCCCTTTCCTACATTTTTTATACTGCCCAACTCCACTGTTATCCCCTTCTATCCCTAGAACCTCTAGGTAATTGTCAAAAATATTTATTTTTTAAGAACTGCGCTGCGTTTAAATAAATGCTGACATTAAAAAAATAGATACCAGAAATTCAAAAACATATACAAAAACCAATTAATAAGGATGTAATGAGCGCAGAGTAATTGCTCTGAAATTTTCCATATAAACAAACGAAACCCAGAAGCAACAGCTATATATACACTTCAAGAAAATATGGAGTTTAGTACATTTAGCGATCCAATGAAAAAAACCAACAATGCTGACGACACTGGAGTAAATACAGATTTTTTTTAATCCAAAAACATCAGTGTTATTATCGAGAATGTAGTGTCCAGTTTAAGCAAGTATTCTTCAAAGTTACGTTAATTTATAGCGACTTTTCTATAATTTACGGAAATTTACGGAGATTTACCAACATTTACTTGCTATTTACATCCTTCAAAATAATCAAACTAATTATTATAAATTCCCAGAATAATTATTTAAACCGTTTTAAACAAAGAAAACTAAAAATATATAAAAGCGAACAGATAAGCCGACGATTTGTTCTAAAGCTATATTTGATAGAAATTTTTGTTTAATTATATTGAATTTTTTTATCGGTACGGGTAATCACAATGACCGAGTAAATATGTAGCTGTTTAGCGAACGATCGCGGTAATTGCATCCTTTCGCTCAATTGACAACGTAGTCGCTTATTAATATGCCGATGGCAGCGTTACGCAATTTTAACTCGTATAATTTATTTAAAGACAGGTTATTACTTGTTGCGGTTGAGCTGTGCGTATTCGCCCACACAATCTCAGCGAGAGTGGCGGCTATACCAAGTTCGATTATTTTATCACCCAGCGAATATATTCCAACTGTTTTGCAGAAATGTACCCAAAAACTATCTATTAGTTGTAGAAAAAGTATACTATACCAATCCTGTGTTAATGCGTGTTAAACTCGTGACCAACATCCAGTTTATAAAGCTTGTTGCTAAAATAGACAATTATGATCGCTCAGTGAACATAATACTAAATAATTTTTAGATGTTACTTTTCATATTATTTCTTGTAAGTAACAGTAATCCAGCAATACTAAATGCTTGCGACATTATATATATATATATATATATATATATATATATATATATATATATATATATATATATATATATATATATATATATATATATATATAAATATAATATATATAAATGTATATGCCTTTTTTTTCTCAAAATGTAACATTCTAAATTTGTTAATCATTTACATTTCAGTTGTCCACTAACAGTTTGCCTTGTTTCACAAATCACTTTAGCCACTGGCCGTATGTCTATCATTTTTTGATCAGAAACATTCTGAATGTAAATGTCAGAGGGAGAGAGAGAGACAAAAGAACTTTATATTGCCCTTTGGACAGTGGCAACACAACCAGGATTATTTTTATGTGAAAAATTTGATATGAACCTATCGTTAAACTTTCCTTCTTTACCGTATACCGAGTAGGTAGAACAGTCGATTAGTAAACAAGTATGCATGCTCGTAATAACCAGTCGTTAAACAAATTATACCATTTACGTAATGTTGCCATCAAAGGATTAATAAACTGTTTTCTGATTGATCGACCGACAAGGATACTATTATCAACATTTGTATCAATCATTATTACAAGTGAAATTCATGCTTTACGTTATTTGAATAAATGACTTTATGTAAGTACACATTAAGGAGCTATTTGTAATTACTTCTAATTTTTTATTTAATGAATAGGTCATTATTAAAATTGTATATGTTAGAACACATTTCAATGGCATATTAATAACTTTAATGCATAATGTGTCTATTAGCATAGTAATAACCTTCATAGGAACTTGTGATGGAGTGCGCTATTATTTTAAACTGGTTGGTTGATTTTAATTGTAATCGAATCACTTAATTTTGCGCTAATAGTACATCAGTGAAAAGAGCAAACGACGAAATTCTTGATTCCTAGCTACAGTTTACACACTGCGCTTACTAGACGTAACATTTTTTATTTGCCACATAAAATTAGTAGTTGCGAATAGTCATTGCTTACTGAATTTAAAAAGCTTGTCAATAATTAAAATCAGTTACAGAAATAGCAGAATAGTATAATACTCAATAAGTGATATATTTTTTAAAAAGAGTCCAATAAGGAACTGCTTATTCGAGTTACGAGATGATTTGGCGGTATGATGCTGCTAGAATGCGGCAAGAATGTGCCTAGAAAAATGTTTTTAATTTCGAATTGACACACCTGAATTAAAAGAGGCAAAGTAAAAATCAAAAATGCTGACTAAAGGAATAATTGCAATCTCAATTTTAGTTTCTTAATTATGAAATATATTTGGACAATGTGAGGGCAGGAACTCATTCATTAATACCAACCTTTAAATGTTAAATTTTACTCTTTATTATAACAAGACAATATTTATTTGAACGCTTTTAATTGGAAACTGCTTTATTTAAAGTAATTTAACATAAACCGCACCTGGATTATTCTGGTAGTTGCTAAGTTATGATTTTTGCTGTAAATACGGTAGGTTTTAGTTTAGTATTTTTTGAAAATCATGAGTCCAAACAAAACAAATATAATACTCCATTTATTTGAAGGACTAAAGATTAAAACTCGACCTACTAACAACCGAATTCACAATTTGACAACCCCTGGTGAGCATTTGTCTCCGGTATTACGGTCGCTCCAAAAGCCTAACCTAACTAAGTAATTTCAAATTCCTTTCAATAATCCAAAAATATGCAAAAATATATTTAAGCAATTAAATTCTGCATCAAAAGGTGCTTTCGAAATGTTTTTATAGAAAAATTAAATTTTCAAAAAAAAAATATATAAAAAAATTTAAAAAATAAAACAAGATCTGGAGAATTTTCAGTCAGAATGATATAACAAACCACAGATTCGTGTACTTGCTGTTAAAGACTGCAATGCCTTTTCAGCTGAATCATCATGTTATACTCCGTAAAAATATTGAGATGGGCCTTTTAATATGCGCATGCGCCATCAATTGTGATCTAGCACCTTCAAAAACCAACATACTCGCTAACAGTTCATCAGTCCGACAGGATTCAGTTTAGATATAGTATTTTTGTTGCAGTGTTTTCTTAAAATCTCGTCTCAGATCTGGTTAAATTTGCCGGAAAAATGAGCTGTATGCAGAGATCGCCGTTAAGAAAGAAAATAGTGCAAAGTGAGGTTAATGGGTGAAATTCTCTAGGGCAAGCCCACTTAGCACACACCACTTATTCTACTGGCTATAATAGTCTGATATGTAATGATTTGTATGGAATTATAGTTATATTGTGAGTTGATTTTTCCGGTAACCTTCAGAATAGGCAATAACGTGTAATAGAAAATGGCAAACTTTTAAAATCTGACAACCTGAGAGGGGTGCTGTTAATAGCATTTAACAGGAATGAATAATTTTGCAATTGCAATAAGGTCGTATTCCGTGAAAGCAGTATTTCAGTACATTTGTCAATCCGTTTCAGATTTATTCAGGCTTTATCATTAACTTTAGGATGGGTTACTCATAGATTTGATAAGCTGCTCTCATGGTATTATATTATGTATTTTAGTTTAGTATGTGGACTATGGAACTTAAGTGAAACTAACTATTAATAAAATATAATATTTTAGCCTATTTTATATTAATACAATGTTTGCCGGAAACGCCATAAAAAATACTTTCTTCACATCAATAACATAATTATGTTTTAATCACCATTTGCTTTGAATTCTGAAAATTGGGGGATTGGATTTACTTCTAATAGCCACGACTACAATATGTCATTCGGCCAGCTTACGACAAGTGTGCACATAATTCAAAAATCCTAAAGGATGCCTTCTAAAGAGAAGGATCTGAACCAATCCACAATCCTCCAGGTTAATTAACATATACAAAATGAAATTTCAACAAAAAAAAAAAGGTTCTTTGACCGATAGCAAAAAAGGGCCCAACCCGCTTCCCCCGCGGACCATCCGGAACCATGCGATCTCTATACCGGAGTGAACAGGAAAAAACAGCAGAGCCGACAACAATTACAACTTTAAAACATTCACTAAACACTAAACACACTTAATCCACACAAACCGATTTCAAAATTTTTGAGAACAATTACAACGGATTCTGTCGGGAGCGAACGGAGGTTAAACCGTCATGTGCAATGCTCACGACAAAATCCAATTCTGAAGGTTATCCTACATATAATACTACACAATTAACAACAAATAATAGCAAAAAATATTGCGTTTATTAAGTCACCAAGAAAAACAAGAATTCTGGACTCGAAAAGGTAATGCAATTTCGCCGACTCAAACGTAGTCAGTTACATTTAGTCCCTATTAATAATACGGCCATTTTTTTTTTAATGAAACGAACGACTCTCACTGTCTTACCGGTCGTCACCCTTAATGAATCACTCTTCAACATTTACGTTTATCGATTACTCAGAAAAGAAGTTGCTTGCTGCTTATTAAATTCAGTCAGCAGCATTTCTGGGTTCTATTCGTATCCATTATTTATGGGCCGAGTGTGGGGCCTCGGACTGATATATAGCCTTCACCAGTTCCATTAAACGGAATGGTGGCCCCGAATTGCAAGGGTCACTGATTCCCGAATATAACTCGGACTCTTGACTAACATGTAAACAAACGGTAAAGAAGTAAACGATGAACTAATTTCATTAATTCCGGAACTTATAAAATAAGCACAACTATCTGATTAAACGCTAAAGGCATATCGTATGCATTTTAGTAATGTTATTCATGAGAATATGTTCGAAGAGTGATCGTTTTATACAAACTAACACAAAACGTTTTCAATTGCTAAGTTTAAATCTACCATATTTGTATATTTGC